AGAAAAAGAATAAATGATATGACAGCAGGAAAGGAAGAAATTCAATTGTCACTATTCAAAGTTGACATCATGGCCTAAACAGAAATTCTAAAAGAGTTAATCGCTAAATTATTAAAATGTATTTATTAAAATAATTTATTAAATAATTAGAACAGAAAATATAGCACGTTGCTGAAGAGAAAAACACAAAAATCACTGTATTTCTAAATACTGACAAAAATGTTTTTAACTTTAAATATCATTTAAAATAGAATCAAATATATAAAGTATGAAGAAATACATGAAGTGTTCTCACTCCTCATCCTAGGCTTACTCATCACCCCATCCATCTTATTCTGCAGAAGCAAGTCACAAAAAAAATCAGCCTGACCCTAACTACACACACACACACACACACACATGCTCCACTTTGCTAATCAGGCCAAGGTCTGTGCTTGAGAAGGAACCAAGAGAAAAACATACTCACCACGTCTCATTTTTGCTACCTGTCTGCACTGGCCTGTCATTCAGCTCTCTCCCTTTCAGGCTGCATTGTTATTTGAACCCAAGACAAGACACAAGCTCAGGTCTGGTGAGCTCTAGGTAGGAGGCAGGCAGACAAGGTGGTTAATAATAAGAATCAAACCACCAAGGAAATTGGGTGCAGGTTGAAAAAATAAAAAAAACATGGGTCAGGACTTTAGCAGCAAACAAGTGTGGGTTCAATTTTCAGACTTGTCTTTTGCTCCCTCTATGACATAGAACAATTTGCGTAAGGACTCCTGTAAGAAATAACTGAAGCAATATATGCAAGTACTTGGCACAAAGTAAAGCTCAATAGACTAAAGTAAGTTCAATGAAGTTCAAAAGACAGAGGATGAGATGGTTGGATGGCATCACTGACTTGGTGGACATGAGTTTGAGCAAGCTCAGGGAGTTGGTGATGGACAGGGAAGCCTGGCGTGCTGCAGTCCATGGGGTCGCAAAGAGTCGGATGTGACTGAGCGACTGAACTGAACTGAACTGAAAGTTCAATAAATGTTGACAATGGGGATGGTGTGGGGGAGGAATTGAAAACGGCTCAGAAATTACTTAGAAACAGATGCAATTTTATAATATAGAAATCAAAACTGAACCAATGAGATACTCTTTTTGTCTACCAGTGACTGACAAATACTAATAAATGTGTAATTCCTAGTACTGGCAAGGATGTGGGGAAAGGGGCTGTTTCATGCAATGAGGCGTGCATGCATGCTAAGTTGTTTCAGTCGTATCTGAATCTTTGGGATCCCGTGGGCTGTAGCCGGCCAGGCTCCTCTGTCCGTGGGATTTTCCAGGCAAGAATACTACAGTGGGTTGCCATGTCCTCCTGCAGGGGATCTTCCCGACCCGAGGATCGAATCCTCATCTCTTACATCGCCTGCATTGGCAGGTGGGTTTTTTACCACTGGTGCCACCTGGGAAGCAATGAGAGGAGTTGATGCAAATTTTCTGGAGCGAATTATAGCAACATCTACCAACTAAAAAACATACGCTTTTACTTACAAGAATTTACCTAGGGAAATAATTACAGGTGTGTGCCAAGGCATATACCCAGTATGTTAACTTCCCAGGTGGCCCTAGTGGCAGGTTGGATCCAAGAGTCGGAAAGATCCCCTGGAGGAGGGAATGGCAACCCCCTCCAGTATTCTTACCTGGAGAATCCCATGGACAGAGGAGCCTGGCAGGCTACAGTCCACAGGGTCGCAACTGAAGTGACTTAGCACACAGGTACGCATGTTAACGGCAACATTCTAAATAATTAACAAAAACCGAGAAAAAGGCACATCTAAATATCCAACAATGGGAATTAAAGAAATGATGATGTAAAGACATATTTGACCCCATGGGAAAATGCTTATAACATATTCTAAAGTTAAGAGGCTGATTTTAGAACAGAGGAGAAGTTTTTATTATTCTATATGAAAAAGATGCTATAGAGTCACTAAAATATTATGAGCAGTCATCTCTGGGCAGCGGGAATTACAGCTCCTATAAGCCCTTGGTTAATCAATTTGATTTACATATTTTGAAAGTTACCTTGAAAGAACTTGTGCCATTTTCCACAACTGCTGAGAAACTTTTAGGACCAATGAAGAGAATAGGATGCCCTCACTTATCACTGTATGGCCAGCCTGCTACCCTGAGGCCACCCCATCCAGGTGGCTCCCGACTCCAGCACCCAGTCCAGCATCACACCCACCCTTCCTTCTCTGCCTGCATCTCAGGCCATCCCAGAGAAAGGTCACCTCTTTGTGAAGACAGATTAGGAGAACGTTTATGCAACAATTCATGAAACTGCCTATAAAAAGAGATTTTTTTTTCCCCTCCCTTTGGATGTGGTTGTACTTTACCAAGTACAGCAAAGCAAGAAAACTTTATTTTTGGAAACAAATAGAATGTAACGAAACAAAAACACCTAGGGCTGTGGTAGATACTGTGATATTTCTATCTTTGTGCCCCTCGGCTTCTCTCTCCTCATCCACAAAGTTTGCCAGTAAAGGAATCATTTTTCAAATCTCAGAAAATGTCATTGATGGGGGAAAATCGACCCCACAAGCCTGAGTGAGAGACTCCAAGCTAGTCTGCACTGCCTCTGGAGCTAGAGCGAGAGGCTGGAGGCGTTTTTGTTATGTTAATAGCCTTTAGTTAATTGCCCTCTTGCTGTTCTCTGTTTTGGAGAAATAAATTGAAGGTGTTCAGCTGAAAAGAGTTGTAATTTATTTCCTTCCTGCTTTTCTGTGTTTTCCAAATTTTCTAGGATGGATGGGAATTACTGGGTAGAAACAGGTTTGTCATCATTATCAGCATCATCACCATCATTACTGAAGAGAATTGTGATGTAACAGTTACAGCTACCTCCATGGCATCCTGTCAGATGCCCTGTAAAGATCTCCCTTGCCTGCCACAATTGCCCAAAATACTTTGAACTGAGATTAAGGACTTTCATTTCAATGAGCTAACACTTCAAGTTCAAAGTGCTGAGCCGGAGGGGGGAGGACCTGTCTACATTACACCATGGCAGAAACATCTCACTGGGCTGCACCCTGGGAAGGGGCTTTCTCATCCAGGTGTTAGGGGAAGCACACTGACTGGAACCGCCCACCCTGGCCAGGCACCACAGTAACCATTTGCAGGAGTTGTTTTACAACAGGAGGTCCTGGTAAGGAACACGGAACTAATAAGCCACCACCAAGTGGAAGAGTTCGGGAAAGGTCAAAAGGAGACACCACATGTCCAACCTCCTCCCAGAATCCTTCTCTCTGGCATCCATCTTGGCTGAACAAGGCGTACACCACCAGGAAGGACTCTGAGTCAGAATGATTGGCTAAAGACAACCCGGAAACTAATCCTATCACCATAAAACCCAAGACTGCAAGCCATGTGACAGAGCAGTTCTCCTGGGTTCCCTTAGCCTCCTGCTCTCTGCCTGGGCACCCTTTCCCAATAAAATCTCCTGCTTTGTCAGCACATGTGTCTCCTCTGACAATTCATTTCCCAGTGTTAGACAAGGGCCCAGCTTCCGGCCCTGGAAGGGGTCCCCCTTCCTGCAAGACAGGGGTCCACTACTTAGTAGCTTAGGTCTCCTCTCCTAACTCCTGCTCCGTGGACAACCCTCTGGGCCATAGGAGTTGATTCCACTCTTCCATTTTCCTGACAGAAACCTAGCACCCAGTGACTGCTCATGGAATGGGAAGTGGGGGGAGGCGATGCTATAGTTTTGTTTTGTTTTCATAGAAGACTGCTCTGTCTTCAGTCCAACAAAGGCCTGAATCTGGATTCTCTCCACAGCCTCAGAAAGGAACTGTGGCCTGGAATTCTCCTAGGTGAGGAACATTAATGGGCCAGAGGAGCAAGCCCAAATTTTCTTTGGAGAGGTGGGTGTTCCAGCTTCCTCGCCCTCTCTGATCCACACAGGAGATCCACTCGCACTCCTGCTCCTGAGAAGGAAGGAAGAGGCATAGATGGGTCGGCAGCAGAACTTAAGGCTACGTCAGGAAATCAGGACTCCCTAGTTTGTAAACTCCTTCAGAACCTACATTTTTTTCTTACATTGCTCCAGTCTGAGGCGTGGGTCAGGGGGTGAGGAACTCCCAGACCTCCCAGTATAGCCTCCTGGGTTGTTACTGGAGCAGCCGAAGGCCAGAGCTGGGAGGCCCCGAGCCCTGGCATCAAACCCCAGCGCCTCCCTCCTCATCCAGGCCGCCTCGGCCAAGTCCTTACACTCAGGGTGCGCCCCCTCAGGTTCCTCCCTCAGTTCCTCCCTGAAGCTGTGAGGACCGCATACTTGGCTGGATGTCTCGCAGCCATGATCGAATAATTCTGCTGCCTCACTTCTACCCCTCATGCAGATTTGCTTACACCCCTGGTGGCTCACAGTAAAAAATCCGTCTGCAATGAGGAGACCCAGGTTTGATCCCTAGGTTGGGAAGATCCCCTGGAGTAGGAAATGGGAACCCACTCCAGTACTCTTGCCTAGAAAATCCCCATGGACAGAGAAGCCTGGCGGGCTACAGTCCGTGGGGTTGCTAAGAGTCGGACACTTGAGTGACTAACACACACACACATAAAGGACTCAAAGATCAAGAACCTAAATGGCTATCAGGTGTCTGTCTCATCAATTTTCTTCTCAGGTCCACTGAGCTTCAAAAAAACTGATATAAAAATAGCAAGCAACCAGAGTCCTCAATCTAGAGGGGGGGAAACTTGGTTTTGTGGGTTTCTGTTTATAGAGGAAAATAAAGGAACACAAAAAGATCAGTGTTTCTACTTTTCAATTCCAGAAGTATACCTAAAACCTTATTAAATGCACAAATAAGAATATAGGCACATCACTCTTTATTACAGCTAGTTAAATTACGAGAGGAAAAAAATCCACCGGGAAGAGAAAGCAAGACACCTGGAAAGGTGTGGGGCATCCCAAAGATACCCAAGGAGAAGCTGTGAGGCGGGGTGAAGAAGTCAGAGAGAGAGCGAGGCTGTCAGGGCGACAGAACACACAGACCACGGCCCGCTCTCGCCGTTTCCCTGTCCCGTGTCTGGGCTCCGGTCTCTGGCCAGTAACTCAGGAGCCCCGCCGCCCGCCCTTTCCGATGGAGCAACAGCGCCATCTGGTGGGTGGTATAGTTATCGGCTCTGACGATCTTTGAATCCCGTTGCCTTTTCACTACACTTTCCGACAATTCAGAAAGAGAGGAATGTGAATGAAGCATCTTCGTTTCAGAAAACTTAGTGAGGGTCAAACGCAATGAAAGGAAAGCCTGGCGGTTTCCCTCACCATCAGTCACCTCCTGCTTCAGGGCCGCGCTGTCCCCACCGCCCGCCCCTCGGAGGACACTGTGGCGGGGCCGGAGGCTGTCGGCGCGAAAGGGCAGGGAGAGGCGGACGCCACACAGATAAGAAGCGAAGTGACTCGGCTTTGCATTGTGTCCAAACTGTCGGTGCAGCAGCTTGAGTCCCCCTGCCCCCCAACCCCCTAAGAAGATGTGTTCTTTTTAAGGATAGTGTGGAATTCAGACCTATGCATTCCTCCGTGGTCTCTGGTGTTGCTGAAAATAGTCCTGGACACGTTTCTTCGTTGCTATTTTATTGATAATACTGAACATTTGGAAAAAGACTAAGTGGAGCCATTAAAAATGACACTGCATGGAGTCATTGGGTTTTAATCTGTGCACTTTTCTGCCTATGTTTTCCTTCCATAAAAAGGACTCCATTCAAAATTGATGCTGTGGAATATTTAAAGGGCAAATACTCTCAATGCCATGTTAAATTTTAAAAATTCCAGAATGCACTGTTATGTGTTTGAATGTTGCTAAGAAAGCAAATCTTAAATTTCCTCACCACAAAAAATAAATGGTGATGATGTGCTGGTGATGGAGGTGTTAGCTCACACTATGCTGGTAATCATTTTGCAGTGTTTAAAAGGATCAAATCAACATGTTGTATACAATGTTATATGTCAATTATATCTCAGAAAGCTGGGAAAAAATCCAAATGTTCTTATGGTTTGTATTTTCTTTCTTACCCCCACTTTTCATTTGTGCTGTCATATTCCCTGGTGGTTCAGATGATAAAGAATCTGCCTGCAATGTGGGAGACCTGGGTTCGATCCCTGGGTCAGGAAGATCCCCTGGAGGAGAGCATGGCCACCCTTGCCTGGAGAATCCCATGGACAGAGGAGCCTGGAGGGCTACAGTCCATGCGGTCACAGAGAGTTGGACGCGACTGAGCAACTAAGCGCACACACACAAAAACCATGTTAAATTAACTCTGGAATAAAATAGAGAATTAATGAATAAGGAAAATAATGTTTACAAAAAATCCGCCACACCGAAATTTCTATATTTATCTAGAGAAAGAGAGAAAACAAGAACAAGACATACAACAGTCATCAGTATTGTGGTAGTCTCTAGTTAGTAACCTCTGAAGCTGTTACGATCGCTTATGGACCAAAGTAAGTGGGTCTTGGGGTGCAGTGTGACACTTCTGAGCTGAGCCTGCAGCCAGGACCCCCCAACATACATCGTCACTCTATCTCTCACTCTTGACTTAAAGCAAATGACCTCACCTCAGTTCCCTCATCTGAAAGGTAGAGCTGTAATCATCAGATGGCTGAGAAAGGAAACGTGGTAGACTGAAGTCTGAAACTGCTGTTTTTGCAGGTCAGAAATGAGCAAATGGGGCAACTTCTTGTGGTTCATCCTTGATGTGGCAAAGGCTTAGCACAGTGCGGGCCTGTGGCCGGAGCTCCTCATCCTTGGGGTGGTCTTGCCCCCATTTCACAGACTGGGTTGTAAAGGTAGAAAGTGGGAACTGCAGGGAGGTATTGGGGAGGAATGAGGTGAATGGGGGTGAAGGCTCAGCATTGCCTCCTGCTTGTCATTTTAAAGCCACCTCCCAACTACACCCCCCCACACTCCTCACCCCATGACATCATTAAAGTTACTTCCACATGGCAGAACTCCCCCCACCCCTGCTATCTGAGCCCCATGAGGCCCACTTCTTGACCCCAGAAGGCTGACGTCAGGACAGGAACTCTGAATCCCCCAACTCCATCTTCCTTTTGACACAGGAGGCCGGGGTGGCAGTATACACTTCCTCCCACTGGAGAGAAGGCACAGTGGCTATAATTTAAGCAGCTAGGGTGTGGTGCTCCCCTCGGTCCTAATTAACTCAGTGGCTATAAGTTCCATTGCACTGGGTACTGAGAGACCAAGTCTGAGGAGTGGGAACCATTGGAAGTGTTGTTGGCGGGCAGGAAGGAGAGCGCCACCATTAATCAACCAGTTAGGGCCTTAAGTTGTCAAGAGATCATACAAGGTTGGGTATTTCCTTTAGATTTCAGATTTCAGAATCAGTGCTCATCTCCAGCAAAAGGCCTGCCAGCTCCAGCCAGAGCTGCTGTGGCCACTGCCCGTTTGAGGAGAACTTCGGATTTTCTCAGTACCATCTTTCAAACTCCCATTGAAATAAGAGCACACAGCTGATGGGCTGGGGGCTACAGCAGAAGAAGGATCGGGGGGTGGGGAGGCAGGAGGAGCAGTGAGGGTGTCAGAGTCTTTCCTCCTTGGGTTAGTTACTCCAAGAATAGCACCTTCAACTTGCATTAAAAAGAAGATCTACATGGCTTATTCCATTCAGAATGTGCCAAACTTATTTCATTCAAATGTGCCCTGTACGTAAGAGTGGTAAGTGAACATATGCGGTCGGAAAAGCTGAAAGCCATTCCCAAGTTCACAAGGAAATAGGTGAGGCAGCCAAGACTTCAACCCACATCCACTGCTTCAAAATTCTGTTCTCTTTCCAAAATTGCCACAAATCCGAAGGAGAATCATTGTTCTAGACTGGAGATTCCAAGACTAGGGCATCAGAAACCAAATGTGGTCAAGGACTACTGTTACAGCAAGAAATCTGCTTGTTCAGAGCGGTTATCAAATGTGGGCCACGGACTTGAAAAGACAAAGTGTGACTGACTTGCCTGGTTATCCATCCATTCATCAATCCAACTGCTAAGTCCCACTAGTTTTCAAACCCCTATGGATGTTATGATGGTTAAGATATAATTTGTGTATTGTTGCTTAAATGTCAGTGGCTTATAACAGCCAATACTTATTTCTTGCCCAGATGTCCTGGAGACTGCAGGTTGGCCGAGACTGGGTTCTGCTCTGCTTTGCATGCCTCCTCGTTCTGGGACATGGCCTGAACGGGCGGAGGACACGCTTAGGAGACCTGGCCACACCATGCATTTGCATCTGAAGCCCCACCATGGAGTGAGGTCACATCTCCTGCAGGAGATACAGGACGGGCAGGGATTTACAAGCCTCTTAGGAGAAGGAACAATCAATCATGAACAACAATGCAACCTACCACTTTGTAGGTTTTCTCAGTCTGCAAATTTACGATGGGGAAGGCTTCCTAGTAAAAAAAATTGACAGTCCTGAATCTCTTGCATGGGTTCAGACCCTGGGTCAAGAAGATGTCCTGGAGGAACAAATGGCAACCCGCACCAGTATGCTTACCTATAGAATCCCACGGACAGAAGAACCTGGAGGGCTACAGTCCATGAGGTCGAAAAAAGTTGGATACGGCTGAGTACACAAACACACCACTTTGTAGTTTTTCTCAATCAACAAATTCACGAGGAGGATGGCTTCCTAGTCAGAAAACTGGGACTCCCACTGGAGGGGATAATTTGAAATCTACTTCTAAACATACCAACTGTCCCCCTGCCCATGTTCTGTCAGTAATTTGTTTACATGATCCAGGAATGAAGGCAGGATATTCCAAAATGGAATTCAATAATCAGATATTGGTTTTAAGGTTCTAAGGTCAAACTTAAGCTGTCCCCATGTGCTTCTGCCCTGAAGAGCCTCTGAAGCAGCTTCAAGTGATGCAGGTCCAAGGGAAATGCCATTCACTGGCCTCCCCGGCCCTAATTAGATGGCAAGGGAGACAGGGACATAGCCAAGGAGTCTCCTTAGGTACCAACCAGGGGAGAGAAGGGTGGAGAATGGGTCTGGAGGGGCAAACAGACTCTCCAGCACTGGCTACTTGCTCCCAAATCCCTTTCCAGCCCGAAAGGATGCTACAAAGTGACTTCTGTCCATCACCTCCAGGCCAAGAGTCTTACAGAATGGGACAGAATCTTAGGAATTCAGGCATTCCAGAAACGGTTATATCATGGTGTGAAACACAGAGATGAGCTTAAAAAAAAAAAAAAACAGTGCTCATCCCCAGAAAGCTTGCAGGTGAGAAGTCCGCTCAGACTCACTGAGGGGCAGGACAAGGGTCCCAAGGTCCAGGTGTTAAGCAAAGCCACACACACACTGTCAGTGGCCACAGAGGGCCAGCAGTCTTGACTCCCAGCCTCTTTCTCTTGCCATAGGCCTCCTTGATTAACAGACCTTCTGCTCGAATTCCTTCGTTTCATTCTGCCTGATCTTTTTCTTCTTGTGGGGGACCACAAGAAAAGGTGGGGCCCCTCCTTGGAAACAAAAGAGAAGTTGTAGGAAGAAACAACATGCACCCAAAAAGCAGGTGTCAGCTGTCCATAACCCAGGGGCATCAAACAAGGGAAGAGGATCCAGGAATTTTTTTTAATTATGTAAATGATGAAAGCCGCCTTTTGCTACGTCCTTTCCATCAGAACTCTTAGAGCATTTGCGGCTTTGATTAATGAGGCTATATCCAAGAATGATATTCATGTTACCCAATAAAGACACCATGGGGTTGTTCCAGGCTCAATTTTGGCAACTTGCTCAATATTCAAGCTGGGCTTTTTTTTTTTTCCTTCTATCTTATCGACCAGGTACAAAAGGATGTTTTTTAAATGAGAAAAAAATCTCTTCGTTCGTGTACTGTTCTAAACTCAGTGGGTTCTCTTTGCAGCCAGGTGAGAAAAAGTTGCAATTTCAATGCAGCGAGCCCTTCTGAATGCCGGCGGCCTGGGAGGTATAATGAACAAGCTTCAGTCTTGGACCGGTTCCCAGACCCACAAGGCGAGAACGCTGTGGTGTCTAAACAGAAGTCCCTGGCTTTCTTTCAGTCCCTAGTCTTATTAGGATTGACGCTCCTTTATTATGTTTTGTTCTGCATCTTAAATCCCCCTTCTGAAGCGTAATGCTGCAAACATGGGGTCTGCACGCCCAAGAGCATTGTCCCTCGGTCGCCATGGTAATCCAAGTACATCCACCAAGCCTTTCCTCCAAATGAAATAGCCAGCTCGGGCTCTGAGCTTGCACCTTGCGTGCACCCACCCCAGTCAGGGACTATCCCCACGGGGGTTTCTGTTTATGAGTGAGCGTTGGCAACAGCCAAAGAGGCCGGCGCAACTGTGTTTTATCGACTTTATTAAA